ACGGTCCTTGGAACCGCAGTATCTTCTGCTCACTAGTTTACAAGAACCCCGTGGCTGGCCTCAGCCTGTGTCAGGAAGATGAACTGCCCTTGTGACTTTCTGCCCAGAAATCCTCAGTCCTACCTCCTCAGCTCTGTCAGTTTTCTCATCATGGAGATGCAATTTTCTTCAAGGTGGTAATGTCTCTGCTAGTTCCTCAGGGGAGAGTAATTAATTTTTGAAGCCTTTGCCAAAGGGAAACCAAACACTTAACTTTTTCCTGTTGTCCCTAATGTCAGTGAATGGCATTTTTGACAAGGGCTAGAAATCATCTAGGGTCCCTGGTGGCATTGCGGTTACTCATTGGGCTGCAATACTCATGGTCAGAGGTTCAAAATCCCCAACTGCTCCTCAGAAGACATATGGGGCTTTCTATTCCATTAAGGAGTTACAGTTTCAGAGACTCACTGAGGCAGTTTAACTCTACCTTAGAGGATCACTATGAGTTAACATCAAGTTGATGGCAATGAGTTTGAGAAATCATCTTCCAAAAGGAAAAACAAAACAGACAGTTGCCTTTAAGTGGGTTTCAACTCTTGGCCACTCAAGGTGTGCAGAGTAGACCTACTTAATTGGGGTTTCAAGGCTGTGACTTCTCAGAAGCAGATCTTCAGCCCTCTTTGAGATGTTCATGAGTGGGTGCGAACCATCAACCTTTCAGCTAGTAGTCAAGCACTTAACCATTTCACTACTCAAACAGAAACCAACTGCCATGAAGTCAATTCTGACTCACAGTGACCCTATGGGAGAGAGTAGAACTGTTCCTAGGGTTTCTGAAGGTGAAATTCTCTTGAGAAGGCAATATCCTCAACTGTCTCCCTCTGTACACCCAGGGACTCCTAAAATCATCTATAATGATGGGGTAATCATCAGCCTGGAGTCTATTTCTTTCCCCCCCACAAATATTCATTGGTTTGGTAAAATATTTAGGCACAATATCATTTATAAATAATAATCACTAACTATTGGTCCCATGTGAAAAATATAGACACTGTTATTATCCATTTAAAAGAAGAGGGTGCAGAAGCTGTAAGAGTTGGAGTTATTTATCCAAGGTAACTGTGGGTAGGTGACAGAACTGAACTTTAAAACCACTATGTCTTCATCTACAACTCAAGCAGTGTTCTTATAATATAGGAACTGAATTACTAGAGAAAGGAATTGTAGTATAAAAACTATAAAGTAAGTACAGAAAGAAATAAAAGATCCTCACAACAGAGAAAAAATTAAAGTTATCAATTTACTTGAAACTACAAAAACCCATGCAAACAGTAATAATAATAATAAAAACAACAATGATGCATCACATTGAGAAAATCCTCTGCAAAAATACTAAAGAGTAAACATGTCACTTTGAAGGCTAAGGGAAACCAGTCTGCACTAAGGTATTGTCAGTTACCTCATTTTCATTTGAAATCTGGGCAATGAATCAGAAAAACTGAAGAAGTGATTTCTTTGGATTATGGTGTTGATGAAGAATATTAAATAGACCATGGACTGCCAGAACAAAAGACAAACCTGTCTTGGTAGAAGTCCTCATTATATTCCTTAGATCGCAAGACACCCTCACACAGTTTGGACATGTGATCAAGTGGAACCAGTCCTTAGAAAAGGACATCATGTCTGGCTAATCAGGGGTCAGTGAAAAAGAGGAAGATCCTCAGCTATGGGCTCACAATAGCAACTGCTGTGTGGAAGGCGCAAAACTAAAGAGTTTGTTTCTTGCTCTCTTTTCTTTTATCCTCCCTTCCTCCCTCCTTCTTCCTTTCCTTCCTTTATTTGTTCCTTAAAAAAATATTTTGGATGGCTGCTGTAAGTCAGAACAGGCTTGATGGCAATTTATCTATCTAAGGCCTAGGTCAGTAATCATAAG